ATTTTATTAAAAAAAAAAAAAAAAAAAAAAAAAAAAAAAATATATATATATATATATGCAAATGTATTCTTTAGGATAAACCCCTTGAGATGCATCATCTTGTTTTCAAGGGGGTCCTAATACACAAAAATAAGATAACATAACACAAAACAAACAACAACAATCACATCATTCAGAACAACAAAACAACAAACACCCCACTATAATATTAACACATGAAATAATAATATTTACCTAGCACTTATAGATATAAACATAGTTATATCATCAGCAATTACAAGAAGTTTGAATTAAGTCCAAATCGTACATTTAAAGGTAGATTATTCCAGTCTGCAGGAGCCTAATACCTAAATGCTTTACCCCCCAAACACTTTCTTAACTAAAGGAGTAAGAAAAAATAATAATATGCAGAATGTCTTAATTGATTTGAAGAAGAATATAATATCAAATACTGATGCAAATAATTAGGATAATTAAAATGTATACATTTGAAAATAAATTGCAACCAGTGAATATGCCTTCTAATATTAAGTGGAGACCATTTAAGTAAATCATACATAATATACTGGTGTGTATCAAGTGAACATCCATTAACAAATCTACACAATTTATTATAGGCTGTACTAAGAGGCAAAATATTGGTTTTAATTGTATTCTGATAAACTACATCAGCATAGACAAAAAAAAAACTGTAATTTACAGTAAGTTGCAATGCAAGTTATGTTCTCACATGTTAAAAGTTCAACAATTTTTAGATCGTTACAATACACTGGTTCCGAATTTAGTCTTGCGATATATATAGTCAATGTGATAGTCAATGTGACGAAAATTCAGGATCCAGCTGTAAGATATTTAATTTGATCCACTCTGTGCAAGCATGTTCCATCATTACACATTATTTTTTAATTATTAGATTTTTATTTAAACATATGCTTTGTAGCAAAGGCCATGGTAAGAGATTTATCTTTATTAAGTAGTAAATTATAAGAATGGAGCCAATCTTGCAAAACATTAAAATCTGATTGGAGCATATTTTGAATTTGAGTTAAGTGGGTATTTGAAATATAAATGACTGTGTTGTCTGCATAAAGATGAACAGCAGAGTGTGAAAGAACTAAGCGAAGATCATAAATAAAAATAAAAAAGAAGAGGACCCAATATTGAGCCTTGTGGTATACCTCTTTTTTGAGTAAATACATCTTTTTTTTTTTACCCTTCCCTTGGATAACCACACATCGTTTTCTTTTATGTAAAAAATAATTAAACCACAATAAAGAATTTTGAAAAAAAAAAAAAAAAGCTGCATACAACTTATCTAATAATAGGTAATGTTCAACTAGATCAAAGGCCTTCTTGAGACTGATAAAAATAACCCCTGTAAGGTCACCACTGTTTAATGCTGAGTATACATCATTAGTCGGCTTTAGAAGAGCACTAGTTGTCGAATAATTAGGCCTAAATCCAGATTGAAATGGTGATAAAATATTATTATTTTTAAGATACTTTGATAACTGATTATAGATTAATTTTTCAAATACTTTAGCAATAACACAAATTATTGATATTGGTCTATAATATTGTCTATCAATAATATCCCCTCTTTTATAAATTGTAGTAATGTAGGAGTACTTCCAAATAACTGGTAACTCACTAGACTGTAGTGACATATTAAATAGATCAGCCAGTGGGTACATAAGGAAGTTTGGAAGGCCAGTTTAATATATCTAGGCTCAATTCCATCAGGTCTGGCACCACTATTAAGCTGCTCAATAATCTTCAGGACTTCTATAGGTGTTATTTTGGTAAAAGTAAAAGTACTGTCCAACAAAGTAGATTTATTGAAGCTATTAATGTAAGAGTAATTAGGTGTTAGATTAGAACAAACAGTGGGAAAAAAAGTTATCAAATACTTGGGCAATAGAAAAAGAATCCTGAACTATTGTATTTTCATCTCGTATTTGCTTAATAATGGATTTATCTGAGGTGTTTAATAAAACTTTTATATTACTCCAAAATTGTTTCAGATTTTCAAAGTTATTAGATAAACAATCTTTATAATAATTAGATTTAGCATTACGAGTCATAGTCTTTGATACATTTCTTAAAATCCTATAAGATTCCCAATCTTCATTTGTTCTAGTCTTACAGAATTTAGCCCAGGCCTTGATTCTCTGTCTAAAAAGACCTATACGTTCTGTATTTATCTAGGGTAAATGTTTTCCCTTGACTTTAGAAATTTTCCAAGGAGCATGTTTATCACATACTCGAGTAAACTCAGAATATAAAAAAATCCCAAGCGTCCTGCACATTGGGTATTAACTGCTATCCATCCCTATTTATGGAAGCAAAATACTTAATAAATAACTCTAAATTCATCTTCTTATGTTGTCTAATTTTTTATTACGATTTCAAAAATTTTAATTTCCATATACAAAAAAACAAATGAGTGATCACTAAAGCAATCAGACAAGATACCTACTTTAACAAATCTATCAGGATGAGTAACAAGAATCCAGTCATTGTTTTAAATTACTTTTTTTTTTTAAATTATTTTTATCTTTAGTGACAATTTTAAAGTTCCCTTAAATAATCATTTATTTTTTAAATAAAATAGAGTCAATAGTAGAAAACAAACAATTGAATGATTTAGCAGGTGCAGAGGGAGGTCTATATATACTTCCAATAGTTAAATATTTATTCTGATGTAAAGTTAACAAACAGACGTTCAAAATATCTAGGTTCGATTGAGGGTATAATTAATTCCGATATCATGCAAGTGTAATTTCCAACCGGGTTGGTAATTTCCCTATAGGAAATCTTACTACTCAGCCACGTCTCTGACAGTGTAATATTCGGATTATATTGGGCTACCCAAGCACGTAGTATGTCTATTTTAGGCAAAAGACTTCTTATGTTTAAATGAACAATTTTTAAACCTTTAGTATTATCCACTTTACATGCAAAGAAAGCAGAGATATAAATTTAAAGCTAGGGAGTAAATTAAGGGTTAAACAAACCAAAAAAATACAGTAAAGATAAATTGTAGTGGCATAACAACAAAACAAATCCTCAGATATACAAACAAAACAAAGCCCCAAAAAAAGACATACCAAAAACATTCAAAACAATAAACCTGGCCCAGCATCCCTAACCATCCTAAGCCAAGGAACGATTAATGAATGGGTCAAATCAGGTCAATATATATAAAAAACAAAACAAACATTAATATTAAATACACAGGTCGGTCGGTATCAATCATTCTTTTTCTTCCCCTTTTAATTCACAATAAATTAATTTTACTCATCTGCCACAGTAATAAGATGTCTTTGCATTATTTTCATTTTAATTAATCTCGTTAATTAATCACAATATTGTAATTTATTCAATTCGTTTTTTAATTATTGGAGAGCTCCAGCTTTTACTTTATAGAATAAAATCAACATTATCAGTTAATATATAAATGTTAAAATATATAAACAACTCAATTCTTTCATTTTACTTGGTGTTTACATAACACCATTTTCAGCTAAAAAACCTTTTATGCATTTTGGTCATTTATTTTACACAACAGCAGCATTTTGGGGGCCTGAAAATGCTAACTTTTGAAAACGGGTTTCAAAGTACAAAGTGCACAACACCGTTATCATCTCTCTGCAAACTATGAAAACAAGTCATGCATATGTGTATTACATGTTCAGTCTTTTCCGTTTTTAGTACAATCATTGTCATGTAAGCATACCTGGTAACACTTAACTTAAAAGCCACATATAATGCTTTATAAAAGTATTTTTAATGCATTAATTATGCCTTGTAATGCACCTAATAATGCATTGATCTCATGAATAATACATTACTTATCTATTAATTGTTACACCTTTAGAAAGTATAATGCACAAAACACGAAAAACAAACCTTCAAATATTATAATGTATTTCAACTTTGGTCACAATTATTTATGAAAAGATATAATGCATTGCAATGTACATTATATATACCTTTATAATACATTATACATAAAGGCTTTAAGTAAAGTGTTATCACATACCCTTAAACCCTACTGAGTGCCCCTGAAGCTGTTTATAGCAATTAGTCAAACAAGTGCTTTGATAGCAATTAACAAGGCTGTTTTTCTCAGTGAGAGCTGTGTTTGCAGTACAGGTAATCATTTAAAGAGACCCGGTTTGGGCTAATCACAGAACGAGATGTAATTATCAGCTGTACTGCATTGGTTTTAAGCACATACTATCATGTCAGGGCATGTAGTGATCTGTCAGACCACTTGGGAAGTCGAGAGAGACATTGATCAATATTGAAATAGAGCTTCCTCCAAGAATAACAACATACCTCATGAGCACAGAGGTGGAAGATGAACTCCTGTCGGATGAGGTGAGCAGGTCATGTGGAGAAGGCCTGTTGTTTGAGAAGACTGTATTGGAATTTCGCTCTGTGCATTACAGTTACAGAGACCAATTACAATCAGCTGGGGTCAAAGCAGTACATGAAGATGAAGAAAATGATGGCCCTAGTAGTTTTGAGACACCCAAAATGACTTTTTCAAATGAATTCATAACTACGCATACAATAAAAGTAGTTCAAACGATGTTGTCATTATTTACACACCCTCATATCATTTCAAAACTGTATTCATGAAAATAAAAATGAAGTGTAATATTTCGTTCTTCAAATAAATGTCCAGTGATTTACTTGTACTTCTTGTCTTTTCCCACAGCTATGGTTGAGTTGGATGGTGATGACATCAGGATTTCCTCAAGAGGAAAATTAGCAGAGCGAGACATTGTCCAGGTGACATTAGTAGTAGTCTACTTAAAAAAAAAAAAATTACAAGTAATGCTATTTCAAAGATTGTTTAAACCACAAGTATGTTATGTTAACTTACAGGTTTTAAATAGATGTGACTTGTCACCCCTTGTCTCTTTCTTTCAATAATCAAATCCATTAAGCATGGGAATTTTAATTACCTATTCAGTCACTGTGGAATCGAGCCTTCGTGTAACAGCTCCACACCATAACCCACATTATTATAAAGCAATTCATTATGCAAGTCCCCTATGAATGCAACCTGTCATTAGTAGTAATAAGAATATCTCAGGCTACAGAGTCAAAGACTGTGAGCAAAGTGAATAGAATTCACTCTTGAGGCACTGTTTCATTTATTTTATTCAGGAAGAAATGATAAGAATATTTTGGGATGTTGTTGTCTTTCCCATAAATGAATGGATTTGTGGATGGATGAACGGGAGAAGGATGAATGAATAGATGCTTGAATTAATGGATCAGTGACTGACTTAATGCATAGATGGATGGATGAATTGATATGGAGTGGATGTATTATTGGAGGGATGGATGAATAAATGGAGGATGGATGGGGAATAATGCATGGTTGGATGCATAGATGAATGAAAGGCCAAGAATGGATGGATGAGGAAGTATGCATTGGGTGGATGGATGGATGAAAGTCCAAGAATGGAGGGATGGATAGATGAATGAATAGAGGATGGATGGGGAAGAATGCATTGGGTGGATGGATGAATGAAAAGCCAAGAATGGATGGATGGATGGATGTGGGTTGGAATAATGGCTGGATGGCGGTTGGATGGGGAAGGATTTTATTGATGGGTGGATGAATAAATTGGGGATAGTTGATTGAATTGGGCAAGGAAGGTATTCATTCATATTTATATCATCAAAGCACCTTCTTTCCCATGATTGGTTTGAAGATGAAAAAAAATGTGGGATGAATGGAGGGATGAATAAATGAGAGGGATTGGTGATGGTGCAAAAATTGAGGGATGGATGAATAACCGTGGAATGGAAGGTGGACTTACAAGTGCCGCAAAATCACTTAAAATGCATTTATTTAAATAATGCTGTAGTGTATTAATAAATGGTTTTAGTTATCGTCTTAAAGTAACACAGGCATAAGCAAATATACACTGCCAGTCAAGAGTTTGGAATATGTAAGATTTTTTAAAGGGGTGGTTCACTGTTTTTTTTCTAGGCTTGATTGTGTTTATGGGGTGCAGTCTAATGTGTTAATGCTTCATTTAAAAAAACAACAACATTATTTTTCACATAATTTACCTTTATTTCACACCGCTCTGTCCCTTATCTGATAAACGCGCTGATTATTTCCTGCTTTTATGAAGCCCCTGCCTCAGAAATAGGCTATGGGCTCTGATTGGTTAGCTAGCCCAGTGATTGGCTAAACCGCCTCTAGTGCGCGTCTAAAAGTCCCGCCCCTCACCTTGCACACGCATTCATGTTTAACGCTTCTCATAGCTATGTGAAAATAAGTGTATAATTGGAACAGTTCATTGTTGGAGCTGAGCTGAATGAGAGAGAGAGAGAGAGAGAGAGAGCAGCGGACGCGAGGAACAGTATTGAGAACCGCTGCTTTAGAACATTGATTTTGAAACTTGTGAATCCATTAAAATCATTAGAAGACAGAATTGCTATTCATATATGAATAGATTTTTACGTGCACCTGTAGTTTTCTCTTCCTCTTCTCTAAAGCAGCGCAGCATGGCCTCGCCCCCTTTGCTGCCTTTTCCCGGGGGCAGGGTTTATCTGGGTTTGTGACGTCACGAACCCGGGAAGTAACTTATTGTAGTCCATACCAGCCGTTTTTGTAGGCATTAAACTGCCAGAATTTTAAAAGACTGATGTCTCCGTTTGCATTGAACGTTCAGCTTCGTAACTTTGCAGATATTGTTTATGCTCAAACAGCAACATTACACACTAACTAACGTTAAAAAAGTGAAATCGCAATCAACCACCCCTTTAGCCTCTTATGCCCACCAAGACTGCATTTATTTGATTAAAAGTATAGTAAAAGTTGTAGTATCTGAAATATTATTGCAATTTAAATTTTCAGCAGCCATTACTCAAGTCTTCAGTGTTACATGATCCCAAAGAAAATCATACAAAAATTCTGATTTAGTGCTCAAGAGTCATTTCTTATCAATTTTGAAAATGTTGCGGCCTAATATTTTTGTGGAAACCATGATACACTACCATTATATATATATATATATATATGTACTTTTTAAAGAAAATGTATACGTTTATTCAGCAAGGGTAAATTAAATTGATCGAGAGTGACAGTCAAGACATTTAGTTAGAAGATTTCATGTAAATGTTGTTCTTTTGAACATTCAGTTCATCAAAAAAATGTATCACAGTTTCCATAAAAATATATATAATAAGCAACAAAAACTGTTTTCAACACTCATAATAATAAGAAAGATCATAATATTTAAATCAATAATTGAGTAGCAACAATAACTGAGCACTAGATCAGCATAGTAAAAAGTCTTTCCTTATATTGGGGGCCCTTGAATATTGTATTGGACAACGTGAGGCCTTTGAGTCAAAAAGTTAAGAACCCCTATATAAGTGGACAGATTAATAAATGTGCATGTTGCTTCCTGCCCCTCACAGTTTGTGCCATTCCGGGATTACATGGACCGGACAGGGAACCACGTGTTGAGTATGGCACGACTGGCCAAAGACGTTCTGGCTGAGATTCCCGACCAGTTCATTTCTTACATGAAGAGCCGGGGAATCAAACCCAATCCAGCGCCACCTCCGTACACACCGCCAGGACACACACACCACACACAGATCTGAGCACACGCTCCCAAACCTGCTTTAACACAACAGGTCCTCTCCCTGGAGTCATGGGGTAACAGTACCGGAGCTTTTAGGGTATAGCTCCCAGTGTCACCATGTGTTTGAACTCTCCAAGAGACTTTGAGGTACAGTGGTGTTTCTGTTTGTGCCATTTACATTTTCTGCCCAATTGTTTTTGTCCTCAGAAGGACAGTGTGATCCAAGAATCTGACCCAAGGGCAGCTTTTTTTGTTTGTTTTGTTTAAAAATATCTATATCTTGGCCTGTGACTGTTTCTTATTTTGTGGATCAGGTTGACAAGAGAATGAAGAGCAGGAGGAGGATGATGTTTATGGTTTCAACTTGTGCCTGTCTGTGACTGTCTCAGTGTACCAGGACAAGTGTGCCCTAATCTGAAATTTGACTCCACATCCTTACTCCACATTGGTATACTAGAGTGTGTGCTTTACGGTGACGTTTTTAGATTCGTATCGCTTTCACTTCGTATCAGGTCAGGCCTGTGTCAGTTTGGGTTTATTACGTTAAGCATTGCTTGTGAAAAAATGTTATTTCTATTCTCTGTCCGTATCCATTATGGTTTAGGAAAGCATGCATGTGTGAGAAATGAATAATTTTGTTCCTATCCATGAATGGTGTGATGAGAGATGTACTATTTTCCCACAGTTTCACACGACACCTGCCTAAAATGACTGTAGAAGCACAACTTGCATCAATAATCAGCATTATTCTTGCTCATGCGCTTCTCTAGGAATGCATAGTGGCCATTTTGGTCGACCCTGTGTAAGTGCAGCACAGCCGATATGGGTCCTCTCTCCCTCTCGGGCAGAAATGAGGCCTGGAGTGTGCTCGGAATGGTGTCACCCACTCAACCGTAGTTCATTTACCAATTCAATTTTGTCTAGAGGCTTTTAATCAAATAAGAGTGCCTGATGTATCTGTACTCTGCCAGTACAGGGCTGAATGGAGGAGCTTGTGTAATTGAGCACATTACAGTGCTGGCTGGGTATAATAACCATGAGCATTTAGCCCTGTGACTGTGTATGGGGCGTTCATTACCCCAGATGTATTTTTGCCAACCCATAAGGCTTTGAGAGCATCATAAGGCATAGAGCATCAAAGCATTACAGTCTTTTCATCCCCCAGATGTCATTAATGCATTTTATTCTGTCTATTTTAAAATTCAAAATCATTTTTTAAGTTTCCAATTTAAGTGGAATTGATTGATCGATTCGTATTTACTGTACACAATATTATTGCTTTTTTAATTTAACATTTTCATGATTTAAGTACATTTTTCTATTTATTAAAAACAAATCCTATTTTTTCACCATATACTACATTAATAATTCACTGTCCTTTCTCATTTCATTAATGCATTTTATTCTGTATATTTGTGTTTATCGACCTAGTTTTAAAATCCTTTTTTTTTTAATGTATTCATGTTTTTTTCAGTTGATTTCAGTTTAATTAATTTGTGTTGCACACAGTATAATTGCTTTATTTCTTCTTCTTTTTTTTTAATACGTTATCTGATTTTTATACACCATATACCATATTATTAAAAAATCACTTTTCCTTTCCCCCCAGATGTCATTATCTTTATTCTTTCTATGTGTGTGTGTTTATCCACCTAATTATAAAACTCTAAATAATGTTTTTTCCCCCCAGATTTGTCATTAATGCATTTTATTCTGTATATTTGTGTTTATCGACCTAGTTTTAAAATCCTTTTTTTTTTTAATGTATTCATGTTTTTTTCAGTTGATTTCAGTTTAATTAATTTGTGTTGCACACAGTATAATTGCTTTATTTCTTCTTCTTTTTTTTTAATACGTTATCTGATTTTTATACACCATATACCATATTATTAAAAAATCACTTTTCCTTTCCCCCCAGATGTCATTATCTTTATTCTTTCTATGTGTGTGTGTTTATCCACCTAATTATAAAACTCTAAATAATGTTTTTTCCCCCCAGATTTAAATCTGTTGATTTTCTTAGGTTGAATTGATACACACTACTGTTATTATTATTTTTTTTTTATTCTATGTTTTCACTGTTTAAGTCAATTTTAAAATAAATGATAGGATTTTTACACACCGTATGCTACATTGATAAATATCCTGCCCTCAAGATAATCGTTGGAAATAATGCTGCTTTTACAGAAAGACAACAACCAGGTTTGATAAACCTTTATCCCAAATGATTCCATGTAAATGCCAGTGAGATCATTAAAACCAGTTTAACTATGCATATCATCAAATGATTTTAATAGACAGAGGCTTGGCACACTTTCATTACAGAAATCAGTCCAATGTGGGGAATTTTTTCTAAATCTAGCATTATAGGATATTTTAATGCAACATACTTCGTATTACAAAACTGTTTCATACTTAACACTGAGTATAACTGCCTCATTTTGTTTGTAAAAACAACAAAACGTTACAACCGGAATTACTCAAATCAAAAGTGTCAGTGTTTACACTGCTGCAGTTTCCCCAAAGAGGGTCCATATCATCTTGGGAGCCATTGATGTCGGAAGAATTGGATGTTTCTCTAAACCAGGCACAGTTGCGACAGTAATTGCATTCGTCCATTTCAATGCCTTCAAATTAATTACCTTTTTCAGTAGCAACCCTACGCTATTCAATCTGTTCATCTGTTCATCAGTTCTTTGTCATTTGCGAAGTCAGTGACATCAATACCTTTTTACAGGCAGGGATGCCACTGTGCATGTAATATCTGATCAAAAGCTTGGATCTACCGAATTAGCACAGAGGATATTTGCCCTGTGTGTTTATCTGGAAAAGTACACAAAGGAGGTTCAAGCTTTTTTGCATATTCCATAGAGAGAAATCTGACAGTAAAGTAAACATCATCACTGCTGTCCAAAGCTAACACTTCTGAAGAACTAGGGCATATTTACAGTACACTTCATGTAGACGCTCAGAAAAAAGTTACAGAAGTTGTCACTTGGACGTTGCCTTTTTTAAAAGATATAAATATGTACACTTTAGGTACTGATATATACTTTAAGGTACCAAGGTGCACCCTTTAGGCAGGGGCGGACTTAGTGATTTGGGGGCCCTAAGCAAATTCCAGGTATGGGGCCCCAACACAATAACTATGTGCTCTTTTATGCCTAACCCTTATTTTGCTCGCTCTATAGTTTATAGTTTATTTACCCCTTCAGAACTTGTCGATTGGATAAATTCAGTAAATAATTAGTCAACCTGATTATATTCTAAAGCCATATTACCTTACTTTTTTCGGCCGGGTATTCTGAGTGCTAAAATTAAGCCCCCGTCCTCCTCTCCTCTCCTCTCCTCATCGTTTTTAGGACACACTCAAAGAGGAAAACACCGTGGCAGGTGTCGATTTAAAAGTATGCACATTCCTACCTTATTTGTAAATGAAATTCATCTCCAATCCTTTTTCTATCATTTCAGGTTTATCCATAGTTATGCAAATGCTAGAAAACAGCTGCTTTTCCAAGTAAAAGCCGCCAAATAACTTTTACACGTAGTTACGTTATGATACGTAATATTCCGAGGGTGGGGAGATGGGGGATTCCCCCGCTCAATATGTCTCTGCATGGACTGAATGATTTTTGTATTTTTTTAAATTTTATTTAGGCTATTTATTTATTAATGTATTTTTTTATTCCCAGTGAATAGGAGTTAAAACTCCCACCCTTGTGACACTACTCCAATAATAGACCATGCAAAATACCAAAACCAAAAAAAAATTATAATAAAATAAATAATATCTTTAAAATATTGCCATCTAACGTTGCAAACAATAATAAAATCAGAGAAGGACTTTAAGTGTAAGCGACAGAAGTATACGGAAAACAAAGGTATTGTTTCTTTTTTTTTTCCCTGATGTTTGTTGTTATTTAAAATTTTATATACATTTTTATAAACCTTTTTTTATTTGTTTACCACTTAGGCATGTTGACAATAACATCTTCAACATTGTCTATGACCAGATAGACAGCAGCCATATCACCCTGTCACCCAAGACTGGTTGCCCACTGTAGCTAAGCAGGGTTGAGCTGGTCAGTACCTGGATGGGAGACCTCCTGGGATAACTAGGTTGCTGATGGAAGAGTTGTTAGTGAGGCCAGCAGGGAGTGCTCACCCTGTGGTCTGTGTGGGTCCTAACGCCCCAGTATAGTGACAGGGACACTATACTGTCAAAAAGCACCATTCTTTCGGATGAGACGTTAAACCGAGGTTCTGACTCTCTGTGGTCATTCAAAAATCCCAGGATGTCTTTCGAAAAGAGTAGAG